AGAGTGGATGGACAGGACACTCAGACTGGATTACGTAATCCAGTTCTGCAGCGCCCCTCCTCCATTCAGGGGCATAAGAGAGGCAAATATATCATCCCAGGAGGAGATTCAGACCCTAGTGCAAAAACAGGCCCTGTCTGTTGTGCGCACCCAAGACAGGGAAAAGGGGCTTTATTCCATGTACTTCCTGGTTTCCAAGAAGACATGGGAATTCAGACCCATTCTCGATATTCGCATCCTGAATCAGCACATTGCCTACAGACAATTCCATATGTTAACCATAAAACAATTACTGGAACTAGTGCAGCCGGGCGATTGGTTCACAACCATCGACCTGAAGGACGCTTACGTTCATGTCGAAATTGCTCCAAAACACAGAAAGTATTTGCAGACTACCGTTCGGCTACTCCCTATCCCCACGCACATTCAGCAAATGTGTGGCCACAGCGCTTCAGCCGCTTCGAGACCATGGCATGAGGGTTTTCTTTTAGCTGGACGACCTCATAGTCATGGCCAGGTCCAGGGAATGGGCAATGTTCCACACAGCCCTATTGATCCTTCACCTAACCAAGTTGGGATTTGCGGTCAATTGGAGGAAGAGTAGTCCCATACCTCACCAGCAGGTGGAGTATTTGGGGATTTTGCTCGATGCAGGCAGACTATGTGCCACCCTGTCAGAGAGCAGACAGGCATCCCTGCTGCGGGCAGTTTGCAGACTGCGACAGGGGGCAACGGTGACGGCTTTGACCATCATGCAGACTCTGGGTCTCATGGCGGCTGCTCACCTCGTGGTACCGCTGGGGTTACTGCATATGCGTCGCCTGCAGAGGTGGTTTGCCGGCCTTCGTTTAGATCCCAAGAGGCACAAACGACGTCTGGTTAACATCCCCCCCTTCAGTGGAGGGCAACCTCCGATACTGGGGGTCCCCAAGGCATCTGCGGAGGGGAACTCCACTGGGGCGGGTGACCTCCTACATCACGGTGTTCACAGATTCATCCGTGACAGGATGGGGGAGGACCAGCCTAGAGAGAGCTATAGGTGGTGGCTGGCCTCTGACAGAGACTCGGCACAGCAACCTTCTAGAGCTACGGGCAGTAGTGTTGGTCCTACAGCACTTCAAACCCTTACTACATGGCAAACATGTGCTGGTGAGGAGCGACAACCGCACCACAGTGGCGTACATCAACAGGCAGGGCGGAGTCCGCTCCGCCGCCTTGTTGAGCACAGTGGAGAACCTGTGGTTGTGGGCCTCAGAGAATGTGTTGTCTCTGAGGGCCCTCCACATCCCGGGGCGGGAGAACAGGGGGGCCGACCTGATGTCGAGGGGCGGGCCCCTGCCAGACGATGGACCTGTTCGCCAACCGGCGCAACAGCCACTGTACCCTATTTTCCCTGGCTCGGCAGGACAATCCACCCTTGGGGGTGGACGCGTTTGCACACGAGCCATGGCCAAGAAAGCTGCTCTACGCCTTTCTACCACTGCGTCTCATTCTCCCCCTCCTGGAGAGGGTGAGACGAGAGTGATTGTCAGTCATCCTGGTAGCCCCGGGTCGCCGCTCGGCGCCGTCGTACGCGGAGGTTACACAGATGATGGTGGGCCAGCCCTGGACGGTTCCTCAGGTCTGGGGGGCGTTGTCTCAGGAAGCAGGTGCAATAGGGGCGTTACCCACTCTGGGCCAACCTCTCCAGGCTTGGCTCCTGAGAGGGACAGGCTGAGACGGGGTGGACTGTCTGACAAGGTTATTCAGACTATCCAGGCAGCAAGAGCAGGATCCACCACAGCCTGTTACAGTGTGAAGTGGTTGGGATTCCAGCGGTGGTGTGAAGGAAGGAGTCTAGAGCCTCTATCCTGTACGTTGGGCTCTATTCTGTCCTATTTACAGATACTGGTGGACAGGGGGCTTGCTCATTCCACAATTAAGGTGTATGCAGCAGCCATCTCGTCCTGCCATGAGGGATTTGGTGGCAGGTCAGCCTTTAGTCAGCCGCTTATGACACGTTTCTTGCAGGGGGTCAGGAGACGCCCAGTGGTGCATGTCTCCACCCTGCAATGGGATCTGCCGGTGGTGCTCGAGGCTTTGGTCACAGAACCATTTGAGCCTCTGGATCTATCCTCCCTGAAGGCGCTATCATGAAAAACAGACCACTTTTCACTGTTTTAAACAACACTATTCTGCCCCCGCTCCCGTAGCGGGGCAGACAGACAACAGGAAGAAAACTCTGCTTCAGAAGTTCCGTTTTAAAGTTTTACTCAGAAAGCACTGTAAAACTGGACACACAAGAAAATGTACATTCATTTCAAGCATAGCAATCATTTAACATATCATACATTTCCCGCGTGGGTTAACAACCATATAATAAACTATGCGTTAGCTTCATGCTAACCCCTATGCGAAATTACATTGAAAGGCTAGCATACATCGTTGCAACTATGAATTCACAGCAATATTTCCACCATTTAACAATGTATCCCTCACACATACTCTTCATAAACAATGTTGAAACAACAGAGCATAGAAACACGTACAGGCTATATGTTTTCTTAGACAACAATGCCGAGTAGAAACGTGCGTCTGAATACATGTAAGAGTTCTGCATAACTACGGCAACACTGAAAGTACAATACATAACTCAAAGCACTGTAATTACCATTTTTACCCACTAGGTGTCCTTTTGACCTAAACAACAGGGCAACACAAACACATTATTTTTTGTTCTGTTGCCTGATACAAGCCATGATTAATCTAGTTTACAATGATTTTAACAAATACTGCACATACATCCGTTAAATTAAACAAAGCAGGCACATAAACACATTGATATACTGTCACTCAGAGGTCCAAGGAGTATCCGGCCCTTTTCTTAAAGTGAACCTATCATGCTATATTTAAATGATATATTGTAGGGCCATACCTATATAAGGTATATTTATACGTTTCTGTTTTCAAAATACCAAACAGATCATGCATTTTAGCCATGCCTCATTTCGCTCTATTTGCTGTTCCCCGGGACTGTTTTTGCACGGGGCTGATTCTGTGAGCTGTGGCTGACCACGCCCCCCTGCAGGAGAGGGGAGCCGTGCTCTGATGAAGTCAGAAGAGGGGGAGAAAAATAGATCTCCGTCCTCCGTGTTTTATTATATTATTATAGGCCTATAGAGTCGTTATTCATTTGTTTTAAAGCTCAATAAATAACAAAGAAGACCTTTGACCGGCACTTTTCAAATTGTGTCCGGAAGATTTAAACTTTAACGGACATCTTGACCGGCGAAAGAAAACCTAACTGAAACTCTGCCGCACGGTCCACTCGTTCCTTGGAAGAGGCGGAGAGGTGAGTGTTTGTCATCTGCTGGTGGACTAACCGGAGAGAATTACAGTGCTTGCCTCGACGGGGAGGGATTGCATTGAATTAAAGCAGCGGGAGCAAACGCTTGCCTCGGGGAGGGAGAAAAAAAGCCACAGCGGAGAATAAACAGAAGGGTAACCATGGTAACCATGCGCGGGAAGTCTTCTTCGCTGCTTTTGTGGCAGACTACAGCGTCACTTACAGGCCTGGCATATGTACTACAGCGTCTCCAGTGAAAGTGAAAGTCTGGTAATGAAAATGTTACTTAAAGCGGACCTATCATGCAAAATGCACTTTTGTACGTCTTTCCAGGGAACTCACCAAGTGTCAGAAAACACAACCATCTCTATTTTCCTCCATACCCAAATCTCTAAAAACGGGGCTGCAACGGATCTGATAAAAACTGATCCAGATTTGAACACTTTGCTGACGTCAGGACGGTGGCGCTACGGCTATTGGGCCAACTCTCCACCTATCAGGGGAATGTGGGGTTCGCATATAGGCTGTCGGCAGGCTAAGCTCCCCCAGTCACATCTATGTTTTTGCGTACTCTAACAACGATGTCGTCCAAGGGAGTTAAACGTTGTGCTGTTGTTGGCTGCAATAATCTGGACAATGGCAAGGTACTGCATGCACTGCCATCTCTGGAAAAAGACAGGAATCTGTGGCTAGTTTATTTTCCAGGGACATGTGCCAGAAGACTACAGCAGATTTCTGCTTGTGTGTTCACAACATTTTGCCCCGGACATGTTTATGAACTTCACTCAAGTCAAAGAAGGATTTCCCTCCAAACTAAGGCTAAAACCGGGATCAATACCCACCATCCGGGACCAGGCCAGTGAGGCCACATCCAATTTGGAAGCTGTAAGTTTTTATTTAGCGGTGTTTTTCCTGATAAAGCTATTCTAGCTTGTAGCATGTAGCTGCGCCGTATCAATGTCGCCTCAAACCCAAACAGTAATCGGTTAGGTGTTTATATGTTTTTGTAAAAAAAAAATTATTTTGTACGCTCCGCTGTCTTTGCTTTTATTTTAATTATCAGGCATTTGATAACATGCTCAGACATACTGCCGCAATGGCGATCTGTGTGAAGGCTGTAAAGCCACGCCATAGCAGATAACACAAGTATTTATTAGTATTTTGTATCCTCTAAAATCATATAAAGTAAGTTATAATAACAAACGTAATCTTCTGTAGCTAAGTGCCGTTTGCAGCGTTATATGTACAAGCTGTTGTGATTGTAGTCTGTAAGAATGATCAGATATCATCGATCTGTAAGCTACGCTACGCTAATGAGACACGCCGTTTTTTGCAACGTTATATGTAAAAGCTTTTATGTGTTTACTTGTTAGCGCACATGAATTTAAATGGGTGTGTGTGTGCACGACTGTTAGGATCTATGGGGGAGGGGGGAGACACACCACGAGTAAGACCGAGCTAAACATAGCATGCACGTTACGGTTCCAAACTAACTCAGATTGGAAAAGGCAAAGCAAAGAGCTTTGCTAAATAGACAGTGTTAGCCCCCATCTTTTGGGATTTCAGACTATAATTATCCAAATAGTATTTTCTCATCCTGAATACTAAGTTGAGATGATTTTGTTCTAACTATGTTTTCTTCTTTACAGGCCAGCACCTCCCATGCTACCAGCAGATTACCTGTGATGATAGATTCTGCATGTCAGACTGACCCACCGAAGCACCGTACTGTTCGTACACACCGATAAAAGGAAATGGATGGCAACAGGTATGTTGTTCATAAACCATATTACATTACTCCTCTATAAATATTTGTAAGGGACAACTATTGAATACAGGATGTTGTCAGACACAATCTATAAAGCATGACAATTCAAATATATATAATATCAAATATGACTTTGATTTTCAAATTCTTAGGAACGCCGGCCTTTTGCAAGCTGGAGAAAATTCTCTCAAACTAGAGGATTTTGAAAGCTGTGGCCAAACTCAGCCCCCACCACCAGACTTCATCTTTGGAGGCATTCCACGGCGTCATCCTGCGCTTTGCTCCAAAGAATGTTGTGTTTCCATTTCTTGGAATGTTGTGCAGGTAAAATAAACCATAGTTACTTATAATTAGTGACAATTTGTACATCCTTTGCTATTATTTACATTTTTTTTTCTCATTACAGAAATTAAAGACTGTACCTGGCAGCCCTGCACTACAATGAAAACGCTGATCGTGCACAAGCCACTACATCCACTGGAAACCCTCTGTATAAACTGCAGTTCCCAAAGGCCAGGAAGGGAGAATGCAGAGCAAAACCCATAAAGACTGACCCCACATTCCGTAAGTGTTTAAAATATTTATTATACAACTATTTACACAACAAAATGTACACCTTACATTGGATATTTCACATTTCAAATCTCTTTCAAAAGAAACTGCAGCGTTACAACAACAATGGCAGAAGTAAAAGAGTCAGTTTTTTCACATGCATACACAAATCTAAACCAAATATTTGTTTTGCTTTTTTTAATATTGCACAGGCTACGTTGCCAACTTGATGGACCTCATCTTCGACCAAGTCTTTGTGGACCCTGCACCATTCACACAGGAGCTTTTGAAGATACCCATCCCAGAGGACCTGTATTCCCAATATGAGCGACCTGACAGGGAGGAGGTCATCGCAGGTTATGCTACACGGTTCAATTTGGCTGCTGTCTGAACCCAACATAGACATTTTGCGGATCAGGAAACTCCCTGTGAATCCCGAGGACAACGCAGGCCGGAATCACCACTCTGATCCTGCGTCCAAGGAAGCCCCAACACCAGCTCACAAAAGTTCTGTAGGCTAGATACCTGTGACGCCTGAAATAATTTCAAAGAATATTTAGTGAAAAGCCTATGTCATTTATGTAAAATACAAGTACATTTACTTTATTTTTATGGGTTCAAAGAACCTTTGCTTTTAACAATAAAGTTCAGACAGTTTATATCAAATGTGTCATGATTATTCATGTTGGATGGGTAAAGTATATGCTGATTTCAAAAGCATAAGGTTGTGTGTGGATTTTTTTTGTCATCAACAAATGGGTGTGTTATGCCATTGCTGTGTAGTATATGTAATATAATAGTAACGCCATGTACAATGACAGAATGAAATTAAAGATTGCATAAAACCATATACACCAGTATTTATTTTCATGAACAATATTAGCATACGTTTTACAAATTCAGTCAAAAGAAACAAACCACTCACTGCTGTATTTGCCTCATCTGTAGTCTCCCATGTTCAGCTCTGTATATATTGAAAGCATTCTGCAGGGAGAACACATTTAGGCACACAGGCTCCAAACCAGGATGGTCCACCATACAACCCACCGAGTCCTCAAGTTCCTGCATCCTTCTTGACACCTAGTGAGATAAACATATATTGAATGACATGTGAAAAATGTATTCTCTAAACAGAGAACTTAGTGAAGCTATCAAAAATGTTACCTGTGGTATCTCAATGCAGCACACATTCTCAGGTTCAGAAGGCATTGTGGCGCAATTTCCACATGTACACCTGTATAAAGAAGTCAATAAATGAATAAATGTTTATTGTATGATATATGTAGCCTACCGCTGTTTTTGCGTTACAAACTCTACGTTAAAAACTACACATTTCATTCTTGCTAATTAGCCAAAATATGAACGGAATAAGTAGCAAGCATCGTAACAACAAACAGAGTTAACGTAAAATAAATAGGGACAAAAGTGTGTCAACTAACCATTCAGAAAGGTCCTGCTGCAACCGAGATATTTGCACTTCCACCGAAACCTCGTCTCCTTCAGTGTCCGATTCTGGATCATACTCATCAAAATACGCTTGAACGCATGCATTTCTCTGGGAGGACATGTTTCTTCTCGTCTAGTTTTCAAAACAAGCATGGTAACATGACGCTCTGCCGGGGCCGTGTCACGCCCCCCTCTTCTGCAGGGGGGCGTGGTCAGCTGCAGCTCAAGCTAAGTCACAGCCCTTGCAAAAACAGGCCTGGAGAACAGCAAAGAGGGAAATGAGGCATGGCTAAAATGCATGATCTGTTTCGAAAAAAGAAACATATAAATATACCTTATATAGGTATGGCCCTACAATATATTATTTAAATATAGCATGATAGGTCCACTTTAAGTAAAACTATAATTAGCTAAATGCTGTTTGAGTATTAAAAAATCCAATATTAACAAACAAAAACGTAATAGCTCAAGGATTTCAGACAATATTTTAAAAAAATTGTAAATTAAAAAACAGAACCTTATACTTTATGGAAGAGGGAGATGTGGACGTTGTAATGCCGTGAGCTGTTAGCTTAAGTACAGTGATGCATGAATATCATAACCTGGCTTATCACGAGCCGTGTGAGCATGAAACCAAAATGTAGATGACGTGCAATATGCGCAGCATGAGTGATATACGCTTAGGTAAATACTGAACCATGACCCAGATATAGGACTAGTTTAATAGCAGTTAATTACGCCGAGATGAAACATAGATGCTGATGGCTTGATTAAGTGATTAAGACCGTCTTCTATCGTCTTACATGAGCTTCTCTGAACTCGTGCAGGGAAGAGTCGCTACTATAGTGAGTGGGCTCGAGACTGCAACTCGCTACCCTGCGAGATTCCCCCCAAAACGAAGCATGTGCGGTGCACGTCTTTAAGAGTTTTTAAATTATTATTATTTTTTTTTTTTTAATATTATTATTATTTTATATACGTGCGTGATATAATAGTAGTGCTGTGCTGAATGTGGGCATGCATTACCTTACCTGATGCGACGAGTCTAAACTAGATTGCCTTACCCTGAACCTTGAAACTAAAGATAGCAATAACATAGTCGGAAATCTCGTAAATACTCTTTCTTCTCTTAATTCTTTTTTTTATTTTTATTTTTAATTTAAGAGGTAAAGCTGCGGCTGCGCCTGGGGCGTACAGACCTCGAATGAGCATCCTTGCAAACTGCAGATGTGGAGGAATGTACAATATGGGTAGGAGCAAACGTTTTCGTTAAGTCTATGACGAATCTCTCGTCTTGCCTATGCTGCACCTGACGGCTTTGACTATCATTCCCAGAAAAACGGCGTGGGGAAAACTCTAGGCCTGGAGAGAGGCACGAGGGCAGAAAGGGGAGGTGTGCCCTGCGCCCCGCAGCTGTTGCACGTAGCGACTTGATGGCCGCCAGTAGCCATCACGAGCAGCTCGGTGTCCAGCACGGACCAATCCAGACGGATGTTGCAATGAGCTAAGTGAAGCGCTGCTTTGCTTGAAAAACTCTTATGGTGAGAATAGAAAACGGATCTCCCGTATTTAAGATGAAGATCGCCGATAATGGCCATATAAGCATCTAATTATATTCTTCTATCGGGTAAACTGAGCAGAGAACGTCACGGAAGATGCCGAAAGCTACCAGAAATGGCCCTATGCTGAGGTCTTTGAGGAGCCGGGGGTCTGCAGACTTAGGACGGCAGCGATGTTTCCTCCCGTCCCGTGCAATGGATTTATCACACTCCGGGGAAAGCAGAATGAGGCTGACGAGATGAATGTCCTTCCCTTCGAGAATTTTTTCCTGAGCCGTGAGGAAATGTTACCGGCTTGGGAAATGTAAGGCCTACCTGAAGGAGGAGCTGAAGGGCAGAAGCCAGGGAATGAGAGGGAGCTACAACTTGTGGATGTGGAAAAAAACCTGACCCGGCATAAACCCCGGCGGCACGGAGGCAGGAAGCACTGCCCTAATCGCAGCTGAAGTTGAAGCTCCGGCAGAGATGTTTTCCATGGACTGAAGGCGAGCGTCGATTAATAGCATGGAGCTAGCCAGGGATTGCAGGGAGCTGGCTAAGCTATCATCCGAGAGGGGCTGATTAGCGGAGCTGACTGAAACTGCTGGCATGGTCTGGGGGACCGCGCCGGAGACTTGGTCCAAAAGCTCGCGAAGCTGGGAGAGAGGGAGGCCTGGGGCTGAGGAAATGCCCTGCTGCAGGAGAACGAGCGATGAGGAAGTCTGCCTCGGCTGTACATGAGCCTCTGCGGGAAGCCACGAGCGCTCAGGCGCCGTTGGCTCGAGGAAATGAAAGCTACCTCGAGCGGTACATCGGAGCCAGGATCGAGAACCTCCTAAAAAAGGTTTGTGAACGGAATCATCCGACTTTAAGGTGTTTTTACGAGGAGTAGTATAGTTTGTACTACCATTGCGTCTTTGTCACCTGAAATGACAGCTGGCAGAGGGAAGAGCAGATATAAAAGGGATTAGCGGGAGCTATGATAGGCTTGTGAGAATGGAGAGAGGAGAGATTGGTTAGCTGGGGAGTGACGCCCCCGATCACTTAATGAGTAAGGAGAGAGGAGAGATTGGTTAGCTGGGGAGTGATGCCCCCGATCACTTAATGAGTAAGGAGAGTGTAATGTGGTGACGTGTAATCTGAATGAAGAGCTTGGTCTTCCTGATTGAACTTGCGCTGAGCTTCATTAGTGCCCCACTGCCACATGTTTGATTCAAAACGGTGAATTTCGCCAGCTGTTAACTAATTTGAAGCAACTACTAAGCCACTAAGTATTACATTGTGTGTGCCTCGTCCATGACAGCAGGCTAAATTAGCTAGCACGCTAACTAGCTAAATTGCTAAGCTGAAACACTGACGTTAGCTAACGTTTGTTTGATATCCACATTAAGCTGACAAGCTTACATACAGAGTTAATAAAGTACAAAAATATACTTACATGATTCAAAATCCACGAGTATTCATATTAGGAGGGTCCATGCGCCCTTCTCTTCAACTGGAACAATTTTTTCTAGAGATGGGCGAGTCCTGATTCATCCGGATCATTAACCCGGATCCTAGAAATGAGCTGGTCGTGACGAGTCTCCCCTCTCCATTAACCCGAGTCCTTTGAGTCCCACACTTGGTGTGACGTACAAATTAAAACTATAAATTGCGTCACTCGCTACTCTCTTTATAACATGTAAAATCACATTACAACGTACCCCAGTCCATCTGCCTACCCTTTAGCAAGTAGGATAGCTGCCAGAAGTTATCGTTTGGCTCAGGGGAGGGGACGCGGATCAGTGAAACTTCCTGCAGACTCGTGGGGACTCAGAGGAGCCGACGGCTCCTAACCGTAATAGCATAGCAGATCCAGAGATCCATACTCGTCATGTGCACGAGCATAGCCCCTCCTCCAGCACCCGGATCCCGCAGCTATATTATGCACGAGTCAACAGCAGACTCGCAGATTCGCAAATCCTGACTCGCTGTGCAAAACACAGCAGACTCGTGCGGACTCAGAGTCGTAACCGTATAGCAGCAGATCCAGAGATCCAGCAGACTCATCATCATGCAGCAGACTCAGATTCGCTAAATCGCAAAATGACCTTTTTTTTGTTATCAATATGTTTTATTAAAGCAAAAGACACCACTTTACACACATTTAACACATACAAACACCAGTATTGCAATGATTACGCAGTCCATGAGAAAATATGGGGGGCATATGATTAGATATAATTATATGTTTAATAATAATAATTGTATAATTAAGACATTTTATATATTCTAACTGTTTTGCAATTTTCTATCATTTGTCATTGTTTGTTTCTTTTTGTGTGCTATGTTCAAAATAAAC